TTTCACAGCAAGCCCTCGCAAGCTGGAAAGGAAGGGAGGTCATCTATTTTCACTGCAACCATTTGACCAGCGAGTGACCTGCGTAGACAAGTCCCTTCCCCTTTCTGGCTTCGGTTGCCTCTTTCATAGAATGGAGATGGGCGATTATTCCCAAGGGCCTGACAAGCCATGGCTTTTCCTGGCAAACTTTTAAAAATAACTTTGATTTATAAGTACTCTAAAAGAAACACATGTTTGTCTGCACACACAGAATGGGAGCTCCACAGGCCAGAGACTTTTCTGTTCTGTTCCTGGCGGTGTCCACAGGGCCCTACTGTGCACCAGAGATTCAGGGGCACACAGTAGGTCTGGTCCCTGCTTCTCAGATCTCAAAGGGACAGAGAGGCGGACCCACCCATGTAGGCACAACGGTCAAAGTAACAACAAATACCCACCCTTCAGACCTGGACTTGGTGGCAGTTGGGTCCCTCTTTTTTTGGGGGGGAATCCCTCTTGCTGTGTGATCAGGGCAAGTGATAGCCCCTCTCTGAGCCTCTGTTAATCCAGCCTTGACATTAGTATAACTTTTGGGCTTACCCAATAGAAAAGGGGCAAAGGATGTGAGCAGGCAATTAATTCGCAGAAGAAACGCAAGTGGTTCAATAAGCAAACAAAAAGATGTATCTCATTAGGAAACAGGGAGGGAGACATGCTAATTAAAACAACAGTTCTCAAACCATTGTTCGGTAAAGGAGTGGAAAAACAGGCATCTTAAAAATAGCTGTGTGTGTTTTTTAATACGTATATATATTTTAACACATTTTTATCGATTTCTGAGAGGAAGGGAGAGGGATAGAGAGACAGAAACATCAATGATGTTTGGCTCAGTGATGACTGGCTGCCTCCTGTATGCCCCCTTCTGGAGATCGAGCCTGCAACCGGGTATGTGCCCTGACGGGGAACCAACCGTGACCTGGTTCATAGGTCAAGGCTCAACCACTGAGCCACACCAGCCGGGCGCTGTTGCAAATGTCAGTTGAGGGCAGTCTCAGTGAGAGGAAGTGTGGCCGTGCCAATGAAACGTTTCTAAATGGGTCCTGCCAGTGCTGCTCAGTGGCTGAGCATCGACCCAGGAATCAAGAGACAACCTGTTTGATTCCCCATCACCGTATGTGCTGGGGTTTTGGTTGCTGGCTCGATCCCCAGTAGGGGACATGCAGGAGGCAGCCAATTGATGTTTCTCTCATCGATGTTTCTCTCTATCCCTCTCTCTCTCAAAATAAATAAAAACATATTTTTTTTGAAAAAAGTTTCTAGCCCTAACCGGTTTGGCTCAGCGGATAGCGCATCAGACTGTGGACCAAAGGGTCCAGGGTTCGATTCCGGTCAAGGGCACATACCTTGGTTGCAGGCTCCTCCCTGCCCTGCCCTGGTCAGGACTCGTGCAGGAGGCAACCAATTGATGTGTTTCTCTCACATCAATGTTTCTCTCTGTCTTTCCCTCTCTCTTCCACTCTCCCTAAAAATCAATAGAAAAATATCCTCAGGATTAACAACAAATTTTTTTTTTAATTTAAAAGTTTTTAAATGAGCCCTGGCTGGTGTTCCTCAGTGGTTAGAACCTCAGCCCTCACACAGAGGGTTGTGGGTTTGACTCCCAGTTAAGGTCAAGGGCACAGTACCTCCCTTGTGGTTTGATCCAGCCCCCTTCCCACCCAACCCCCGCTCCCCTACCCCCACAGTCAGGGCCTGTGCACCAGAGGCAATTAATTGATGTGCCTCTCTCACATTAATGTTTCTCTCTCTCTCTCTCTCTCCCTTCCACCCCCACCATTCCACTCTTCCACTCTGTCTAAAAAAGCAATGGAAAAAATATCCTCAGGCCCTAGCCAACTTGGCCCAGTGGATAGAGCATTGGCCTGCAGACTGAAGAGTCCTGGGTTCGATTCCGGTCAAGGGCAGGTACTTTGGTTGCAGGCTCCATTGAGGTCCTGGTTGGGAGCATGTGGGAGACAACCAATCAATGTGTCTCTCTCTGTGTGTCTCTCCCCCTTCCTTCCACTCTCTCAATGGAAAGATATCCTCGGGTGAGAATTAGTATATATATATATATATATATATATCCTTGGGTGAGCATTTTTTTCAAGTTTTTAAATGATCAGACTATAGTGACGAAGCAATTCTATTTCTAGGAGTGGATCCTACAGACACTCATACACAAAAGCACAGAGACTCATACAAGGACATTACTGCAGCAAGGGCCATAACAGCAAAGGAACTGGAGAGCTGACAGTCGGGTTAGATTATGGGACTCCCTACAGTGGACTCTCATGCAGCTAAAGCAATAATAGGAATATATGTCATCTAAGTTTAGATTAAGTGGAAAAATTCCTAGAAGAACACCACTTAGCCAAACTGACACGGGAAGAAATAGAAAAGCTTAATCGTACTGTAACCATCAAAGAAATTCAGTTCTTAATGAAAATCTTTCCCATAAAGAAATCTGTGGGCACAGATGACTTAACCAAAAAACAAAAATTTGATAAAGAATGCATACATATAGTTCAATTTATGCAACTATATAGTTTTATATATACAGTATAACAATATGTATATGCACATATGTAGTTATATATATTTACATGGTTCCTAGATCCATATATGTATGCAAACACATAAAGGGAAAACATGAGGGAGATGCAAACTGATTATGATGACTTCTGAGAACGGGGATTTGGGGCTGTCCCTTTACCTATATTGTTTCTGCTTTTATGAAACCATCTTTATGGCCAAACAAAACTCCATCGAAGGCCAGCTTCATTGAGGTAAAATGGCCAATGGTAGGAAAACGATGCCGAGACCAACCTGGCATCTGCCATCTGGTTCTGGGCACTGCCACATCCACAGCAAACAGCAATCGCTTCATAAATGCCAGTCCAAAGGGAAAGCATTTCTCCCATTCTAACACAGAAGTAGAGCCCACCACATATGCAACATTGTACATTTATTTACAAAGAGGTTAGAGAAACACACAGAATCTGGCCCCCCTGTGCACCGGGGAGTCACCATCGTCATAATAAATACAGTAATTTTGAAAAAGAAAAAAAAATACTGGATTGGAACAGCTGAGGGTCATCCTGAGCTCCCCCCACTCCCTCTCACCAGGGAGGGGGTCACAAGATAGAAGCCATCTTCCTTCCCCTCTTCCACTTCTCAGTCCTCCATAATTGTCCATGGATGGAGATGAAAGAGTAGTTCTTTCCAGGTGTTATCAACTCCTATGTGACCCTCAAAACCCCAAAGTCAGTGCTCCTTGCCTTCCCAGGGTACTCTGCAGGCACCGCCTGGGTCAGACAGAGTCTCCAGTCATGTGCCAAGGGGAAATCCTAGGGGTCCAGAGACATGGATGGGGTGGCATTTTGTGTATGAAGGGGCCATATCTGGGCATGGAAAGGAGGAATCAGAGGTTCTCCGTGAGAGCAGTGAAGGGCATCAAACAGACTAAGTGTCTAAACTAAATGGGGAAATTCACACTGAATTCCCCCTTCGGCATACCATAGTGCACCCATAGTACAGAAGAAGAAAGTGGGGTCCAGAGGGAGGGGACTTCTTGCCCACGGGCTGGGGCTGCAGAACCGGGCC